CCAGTGTGGTGTCGCCGCTCCGGTTTTGAGGTTTGGATCCTGAGAGAAGCCGGAGTGAAAGAAGAAAGCCCTCCAGCTCCGTTCTTTCAGTGATGAAAAGGTGTTCTGTTCCCTAACACCCTGGACACAGATTCAGCTGTCTCCGTAAAGGGTCTGCACTTAGCCCAGACCTCCGCAATTATTCTTATACGTTTATGCATAATAATAATAATAATAATAATAAATTCCTTATACCTGTATAGTGCTGTTCTACACAGCACTCAAAGCGTGTTACAGGTAATGGGGACTCCCCCCCACCTATGTGCAGCCTCACCTGGGTGATGCATATCCGACCCGTTTTTAGGACGTGAACGACGCATTCCTCTGAATCCTACACGGATTCTCTCTGAACCGTCAACGCAAACCTCCCGCTGCGCATGAAATCGATGCGAACGCGTCAGTCCTGTTGCGCCAGGCTCCGTGAGCGTCGACGGGAATGCAGCTGTAGCACGCGTTTCAATTGAAGGCTGCGATCTACAGTATAATTGAACGGGCTGGCGTGGCACAGGAATGGATGTGCTGTAGTTGCAATGTATCTGTTGCATGGCGCGGAGGAATATGACATCAGTGCTCCTCGCCTCTTTGCGGGGGGGGGGGAGGTGGAGCGAGCGGTGTGCACAATTCCGTAGCTATAGCCCAGATCCCAAATCCCCCTCAAGCCCTTTCTTTCTGAGGCACCGTCAGGCAGCGCTCGTGTCTCTCAGCTCAGTTCAAAGCGAACGCGCAGGCAGCGGCAGGACTCGCTCCGGTCTGCGCCTCGCCAGCACGATTTCACGGGCAGGATCCCGCTGATCGGCAGTTCGTTTCTGTGGCTGATAATCCGGCCGCTGTTGCCGGCGATGGGGTGATAATACCGTTCCCCCCGCTAGCTCACGTGTACAGCAGTTATTCACGGGCACGTGCCGTGTTACTCTTGCAACTCGGGTTTTGTCATTTTAACATTTTGTTCCCCCCCCAAGTCCTGAGTTTATCGCAGTAAGAATTTCATATCAAGAGCCCGAGCTTTAGTAAGAGTTAACTTGCGACACTTTTTCATGGATTCGTTTAAAACGACAAGGGGAGAAAAAGCGTGACAAAAAAACCCATTTCATTCCTCCGCCTCGGGTCAATCCACTTCCTCAACAGTCCTGACCTTTGGGCTGGAGCTCAGGAAGCGGCCCGTGTGGAGGCCCGGCCCGTCCCAGCTCACCGGGACCGCACCAGCAACTCCTAGCTTACAGATATGAGCCTTAGGAAGAGCGCTTAAGGGAACGTGTTTCATCAACACCTTTGATGAAAAAGTGATCAAAGGCGTGCAGAGCTGAGGGGCCATTTTGGGCGTCTTGTCCTGAAAGGATTGAAGAAGCTGCCGACTGTAATCAGGAGGTCAGCAGGGCCCAGGACAGAGGCCAGTGGCCTCTCAGCGAGTGGTTGGCAGTGAAGCCCAGCGGTGAGACAGGGCCTCTGCTCGTCACGCTGACTTCCCGAAGGGAGGCTGGGGCACAGGAGGAGGAGTCTTCGACTGCCCTGGAAGGGAGAGGTTTTCCAGGAGCCCGGGCTGCCTCTGCACGGCCCGCTTGACGCTCAGGGCGATTCATGGAAGCGCCTCCTTGAAGATCTCCGCTGGGACTGGTCCCCTCTCCTGCAGCAGGAGCGGTTGGTTCTCCCCTGCTGGTGGGTGAAGGCACAGAGCGCTCTTTGTGCTCTGGGAAGAGGCTCCCCAGGGGCGGGAGAGCCCTCGGTCTTGTGATGGGCACTGCCGCGAGAAACCACGCGTAGGACCGTGGCAGCACCAGCCCAGGTCCCTGAGGCACCTCCCCCTCGAGCGCGAGGGCGACGCTGTGGTGCCAGTCTGTAAGGAGCACAGGAGGGCTGAAGCCCTCAGTGCCGCCTGATCCAGGCAGAGCCCCAGCTTGGAGGTCAGAGACTCTCGTGAGTCCGCCCTGCTCGCAGACCTGAGCTGTCTGCTGGTTCACTCCTCCTCCTCCTCCTCCTGACCTACTGCCAGGAAGATGGATCCGGGGTGCAGCAGGACAGTGGGGATCGAGGGGCAGGGAAGAAGCGAGCTCTCCGCTCCCGCGGGGCCGCTGACAGGTTCTGTGCCGGGCTAGGCTTGTTTTCTGCTTGCTGAGAGGGGCACCCCTGGCATGGGAATCGAGCCCCTGCTGGCGCCGGCGAAGTGGACCGATGAGACGTCGATAGGCCGCGAAGGAAGCGAAACTCCGTGACTAAGTAACCAGCACAGTTTTTTTTTTATGAACCAAAACTATGCTAAGAGCCGGTTTTTAAAACGAGGAATCTGACAGGAGCTCTCTCACGCCGTCGTCTTCCATCAGGAGCAAGCGCAAATCAGTGTTCCGGGTCTCAAGCTCCCAATTCATGTTTCTTGCGGGAGCTCTTTTCAAGCGAGGTGATAAATTGCTGGCAGAGCCGAGCCATTTGGTAGTGTGCCGTAAATTACAGGGCGCGCTCTAACCCACACAGCGAGATCACAGGGCTTGTGAGGCTCTCTTGTCTCGTTCCACTGAATTTTTGAGTGCCTGGGACGATTTAGGCCATAACCTTGTGAAAATACTGTTTTTTTTTTAAGACAACGTGAGAGAGCGCAGAACGGGACGTTTTAGCCTAGTAAACGTGTAAAAATAAATAAATAAAAACAAGAGGCATGAAGGGAAAGAGTCAAATCAGAGCCCGGTCTAGCCCTCTGAAAAGCCCTGTTTTCTCTGGAAGGCCTCTGCCTTTTTCCTGCACGTGCCTGGGTCTCCAGCTAAGGCCCTGGGAGGTGATGGCTAAAAAGTGAAGCAACAGGACAACGGATTCAAAAGGATGGAAGAGTCGGTGACATTTGGATGGTATGGAGCCCAGTTTTAATGCCAGCCAGTTACTCACTCTTCCCACACAGCCGCTGAGAGCCCTGCGCTCCATCAGGGAGAGTGGGCAGTAGTTGTACTGGGTCATTGGGGTGGCTGGCTCATGACAAAGAGCAGGTCTGCTGAAGTGGCGGACTGCAGGGCGGTGTGTCCCTCTGCCAGTCAGCCCGGTGGGGGGGGGCTGTGCACGCCTGCCGCGGGTTCAGCTGTGACAGCTCGGGTCCCAGGGGCCGCAGAGAGCCGCGCGTCGGCCGCCGTGTCGCTTCTGCGTACTCCCTACGGCTGCGGGCAGTTTCAGAACAACAGCTTCCACTCGTGAACCTGACGACAGGAGAAATTCAGAACTCTTCTGGGCTGGGTTAAAAAAAACAAAGTGTTCTGCAGCGATGTGCTTGTGCGTTTGCAGTCCCCGACGGCGCTTCTGCATGTCGGATCGTGGCCGTATCGCGCGGTCCTGTCGGGATTGATTTACATGGAATTTTTTGTCGACGGCTGAACATGTGTTTAGCGAGACCTTGACGCCTTGGGAGCTGTGGGAGTTTTCCCTGGGGAATTCTTCTTTATCTTTCAGGGAAATTTAGCAGATAAGGGCCACGTGGACGTTCAGCTTCACCAAAATAGTATAGAGAATTATTATATGTAGACTGTAGGTGGGTGTGATACTTTACAAGAACCGTTTTCGATCAATTCTCTTATTTTTGGCTCAGGAATCAGATTATGAGTGCTGTTAAGCTCAGTTTTTATTTCATGACTGAAAGTTCTCCTTCCAGAGAAAATGGACATTTTCTCTTATTATTATTCAACTGCCTAACTGATGTCTGTAAATTGTCTCAGTGGGCTTTTTTATCCTGCTTTGCTCCCAGTACTAAATGGCTTTCTTAAAACGATCAGTTCTGCACTTATTATAATTTTCCCCTACGTTGTGAAATGTTTAATTTTCTGAAAGAATAAAGAAAATAACATTCAAGTAGTAATTATCTCTTGCATTTCCCAGATGCAGTGGTGAAAGTAAGATTCTAGAAAGTGCCCCATCCATTTTCTTTTTGTCTTGTTCAGCATTTTTCCAGCTACAGTATGTTGGTAAAAACAGTCAACACCATGATCACAGAATGACATCATGACTGTCTGTACTGTTCTATGAAACTTACTCCCATTGTACGGCTGTACTCCATTCTCTTCCTGTTTCTGTTTTTAGTTTTGCATTGGCAGAAGTCAGAAATCCCAATACTTCTAAATACATTAATTCTCTGCCTCGGCAGAACTGTTTATACAAGAGCCTGCAGGTTGTAAATCCTGAAGTGGATCAAAGCTCTGTGCAAAGTGAGTTTTAATTTGTTTCCTGTTTTTTATTGCGAAAGGATCTGGAAGTGTGGTTCCTCATTAGCATTCCTTTGATCACTTCCTCGGCCTGCTGGTTTGCATTTTTGTGTTTCTTCATGTCACAGTCCGGGCTGGCTTAGACGTGAATCGCTCAGACAGCAGCTGCACCTAAGTGGGACGCTTGGATGCAAGTCTCCTCCGTCGTGA